TCTCCCCTTTCCTCTTCGATATCACCACTGTATCTAACTCTCTCCGAACCCTTATCATCTTCATCGTCGTCGTTTATTACTCGCTCCACCTGTTCTGACGATAAAATTTCTCTCCTCGATTTCCCATTGCACGATTCATCCTCGATAATGTAAGTGACCGAAGTGTCTGCGCTCTTCAGAGACACTTTGCTACCACTTCCACGATTCAGAGTGTTTATTTCTTCTAAAATCTCTGCCTCTTCCTCTCTCTCCGTGCTCTCGATATCATTTTTCGAGGAAGAAGAGGAGGAAGACGACAACAAAGACGTAGAAGACGAAGAAACCTCCTCCTCGTTCGCCACTCTGAACGTCGAACCGCCTTGTTCGTCTTCGAGATCAGATGGAGCAGCGCTCTCGCGATAAGACTGCATCAGGTTGGCCGTGTTCCCTGAATACGTCGTTATCTGCTCGTCCCCGTCGACCGACGCCTCCTCCTCGTCGCTGGAGTCGTTTCGACGCTTGGTAATCACCCGCCTCTGCGAGAACATGGTAGTTATCACGGTCTCCTCGCAGCTCACGAACAGACTGGTCCGCAGCTCCTCCTCGTTCTTGTCGTTCTCCTCCTGCGACGAGGTGATCCTCGCCTCTGTCACCTTCGAACAGTTCTTCTCGAAGGGAATAGGACGTAGGAGACGGGCCACCTGGTCGATAAGATCGCGGATATAGGAAAGTAACGGTGTGTCGCCTTCCTCCTCGGTGATCTTCGCGGCTACCTGCAGCTCCTCGAGAGACTCGAGGAAGCGGCCTAGCTTCGCTAGGCTCTGGCCTTGAAGAGAAGGAGAGTGTGTAGTTGATATTTGGGTTGCGAAGCTGGAAGAAGGAATTTGGAGTGTTCTTTTGATTGGAGAGTTTGTGATTGGGGCATTTTTGGGGGATTGAGAGGGGTTGGTGAACTTTGGGATAGGGGAGGTTGAAATTTGGGTTGGGATGTTGGAAGTTTTGTAATTGGGGAGTATCGAAATTGGGCAGGTTTGCGATTGGTGTGTTTCAGAAGTGGAGAGCTTTCAAATTGGGAAATTTGGGTATTAGAGAATTTTGGAATTGACGAGCTTAAAAATTGTGGAACTTTACAATTGGAGAGCTTCCAAATCGAGAAATTTGGGTGCTAAAGAATTTCAAATCTTAGAGAATTGTAAGTCAGAGAAATTTTGAAATTGCAGACCTTTAAAATTCAAGGCTTCAAAATTAAAAAGTTTCAAAATTGAAGAACTTTCAAATTGGAGAATTTGAAAATTGTGGAGAATTTTAGAATCACTGAAGTGCTTGAAAAAAATGTTTCCCTTTACCCGTAATAAAATATGTCAAGACTCTCCCTTATCGTCAAAGCGAGGCCGCAAATTGGAAATTCGAGCGGAACAAGCGGTATCAACATGGTCCACGGGCCTTCACAGTCCGTGTCCCTATCGACGTTCCAGGCTTTCGAGTGTAAACCGTGTTGGCGTGGAAATTGATTTCACTGTCTAACTGTAACCAACCTCATCAGAGATTCGATGCGTTAAGTAGGTTGTAGATCGTCCAGCGGACAAATTGTGACGTGACCAGCCATAGATCAAACCAATCGCTATCTAACACACTCTAATTAACCTACCCACGCCCCTAATTCCCCTATAAACCTCCAACCATCAAACACCCAAATTAACCAAAGTACTTAAAAAATTCTCACCTATCAGTAACTTCCCACACAGCATCCACTTCTTCGATTTACCCTTGACAGCTGCCTGCACGCACCTAACTCCCATTTCCATAGCTTTTTCGTACTTTCCAGTCTCCAAGTAACACCTTCCAATCTCATGGTGAATCCAAGCCACAGGAATCGACTCTTTCAAGTCTTTCGACAGGTGTTCCCAAGCTTTAGCTGCTGCTTCTAAGTGTCCAAAGCTGAGATGCACTTTTCCAAGGGTCACCAATGATCTGCAGATCTGAATAACGTCACCTGTGCCCTTCGAGAGGCGTACGAGTCGAGAAGAGTTGCAGACTGCTCGATCGTGTCTTCCTAAGGCTACGTGGATCATCGACAAGTAGTGATAAGCTGCAATTTGGTAGCGAGTAGGGTCTGGGAATCCTGCAGACAGCTCTAGAAGATCTTGGGCTGTTTTCAGAGCTGTGGACATTTTTCCAGAGTCGAAGGACGCTTGGAGATTCTTCAGAGAAGACTCTGCTAAGTTGTTGAGCTGCTTTATCATCATTTTTGACCGGGCTAGCTGAGTGTTGGAGATTCTTGAGGAAGGGAGAGTCTTCCAGTAGCTTTTGTGATTGTCGAAATAGCTGAAAGAAGGTTTTGTTTGATGATTTATTTGTGGGTGAGATTTAGGAAGTTTTTTGCTGTTGTTCAAGATGAGGGATATGGAAATGGTGTAATTAGTTTGATAGTAGGGTTAACGTTGATATATTGAGTCGAAGCTTGAAGATCCCTTGTTTCAAGTTCCCATTGATGTCAGTGGAGGATTGAAGTTGTAAGCCTCGTTCACACGGAGCATTACTCTGACGTTTCGGATACTTTAATCATAGGCCAGAGACGCATTGATACCTTGTGCTAGATATGGATCGCATAGACCGTCGAATAGACAGCTCTGAGAGACTGTAATTTACGTAGACAGTAGTCTTATGGATGGATTGTGTCCTGATAAACCATGGGCGACGTGGATCTTGCCGTAATAGAGTACGCTCCCGTGAATCATCGTTCGAGTAATGGTTGTGCTTGGGGAACAATTGGTCTGAGATCTTCAAGTTTTTGAAGAGACGAATGTATGAGTTTTCATATTTTTAAATATTCGAATTTTCGAACGCTCAAATTTAAGTTCGCGGATTCTTTAATTCTTAATCTCTCGAGGTCTCAAATTCCCAAATTCTCAATCTCTGAAATTTCCAACTTTTCAAATTTCTGAATTCCCAAATTTCCAAATGTCTAAGTTTCGAAATTTCCATATTTCTAAGTCCTCAAATTCTCAAATTCCCAATCTCTCGAGGTCTCAAATTCCCAAATTCTCAATCTCTCAAATTTCCAAGTATCTAAGTTCTCGAATTCCCGAGTTCCCAAGATCTCAAATTCCCAAATTTTCAAATTTCTGAGTTTCCAAATTTCTAAGTCCTCAAATTTTAAATCTCTCGAGGTCTCAGATTCCCAAATTCTCAATCTTTCAAATTTCTAAGCCCTCAAGTTCCCAATCTCTCGAGGTCTCAAATTCCCAAATTCTCAATCTCTCAAATTTCCAAGTATCTAAGTTCTCGAATTCCCGAGTTCCCAAGATCTCAAATTCCCAAATTTTCAAATTTCTGAGTTTCCAAATTTCTAAGTCCTCAAATTTTAAATCTCTCGAGGTCTCAGATTCCCAAATTCTCAATCTTTCAAATTTCTAAGCCCTCAAGTTCCCAATCTCTCGAGGTCTCAGATTCCCAAATTCTCAATCTTTCAAATTTCTAAGCCCTCAAATTCTCAATTTCTCGAAGTCTCAGATTCCCAAATTCTCAATCTTTCAAATTTCTAAGCCCTCAAGTTCCCAATCTCTCGAGGTCTCAGATTCCCAAATTCTCAATCTTTCAAATTTCTAAGCCCTCAAGTTCCCAATCTCTCGAGGTCTCAGATTCCCAAATTCTCAATCTTTCAAATTTCTAAGCCCTCAAGTTCCCAATCTCTCGAGGTCTCAGATTCCCAAATTCTCAATCTTTCAAATTTCTAAGCCCTCAAGTTCCCAATCTCTCGAGGTCTCAGATTCCCAAATTCTCAATCTTTCAAATTTCTAAGCCCTCAAGTTCCCAATCTCTCGAGGTCTCAGATTCCCAAATTCTCAATCTTTCAAATTTCTAAGCCCTCAAGTTCCCAATCTCTCGAGGTCTCAGATTCCCAAATTCTCAATCTTTCAAATTTCTAAGCCCTCAAATTCCCAATCACTCGAGGTCTCAGACTCTTCTCAAATTCCCAAATTTTCAAATTTCTGAGTTTCCAAATTTCTAAGTCCTCAAATTTTAAATCTCTCGAGGTCTCAGATTCCCAAATTCTCAATCTTTCAAATTTCTAAGCCCTCAAGTTCCCAATCTCTCGAGGTCTCAGATTCCCAAATTCTCAATCTTTCAAATTTCTAAGCCCTCAAATTCCCAATCACTCGAGGTCTCAAATTCCCAGATTTTCAAACCCTCACAAACCACCCTCACACTCACCACTAAAAAATCCCACAAGAACCCCAGTACCCTACAAATACCTCGAAAACTCCCTTACCCAAGTAGCTCAGTGACAGAGGACGGTACAGGCGACTTCTTCAGCTTCTCGTTCACCATGATGGCGGCGGTTTCCGGGCAGAGGGCGATGGTTAATCGGTCGGCGGCGCCCAAACCGGGTAAAACCTTCGGCAGGGCTTTCGACGGATTATTGCAGGAGCTTATCGTAGCTGCGGTCCTCCTTGCTGCCACGCAATGACTGCTGTCCCTCGGATACAAGTTCGCCGCTCTATGGTACAGCACTAATGCCGTCTCGTAATCACCGCTGCAAATTGCGATTCGACATTCGAAATTCGTTCCTCTTAGTCGGCAAAATGGACTGGCGATTAATTATGGAAGAGAGAGAGAGAGAGAGGGTGGAGGGCACTCTGTGATGTACAATTTCGAGAACTAATCAACTGCTCCTGCTGTATTGACGCAAAATGACAGTAGTTTATGGGAAATTCGGTGAAGGGATAAAACGGTGACGTTTTAGACGTCAATACACGTGATTGTACAGAGAGAATAGGAAATTTTACTGGAATATACAGAGTGTCCCGTTTGTAACATTGAAAGTAAAGAAACAACTACTAAAAGAAGTTTATACGACTTCGGTAGTACGCATCTGGTGATGATGAAAGAAAACTTACCTTTACATCATCTTGAAGGTCATTCTAAAATCATCCAAATTTTTCTGCATACTTATTAACCTATTTTTTATAATGCAACATTATCTGTAGTTGACGTAAAGACAATTTCAACGACCTCACCTTAAAATGACAATTTCATCCCCTTAAAATAACCTTAAATGGTAAAAAATAATGTCGATGACACTAACATAACCTTCAATCAAGATGACTTTAGTAGAATTTATTGTTTTATCATCGCTAAATGCAATTTTGAAACCATATAAATTCCTTTTAATAATTTTTTCGCACTTTCAACTCTATCGAAAGTACTTCAGATGTCCATTAGAAGTGAGACACCCCGTATATTTCACACTGTAGCTGAATCGCATCGTTAAGTTGTCGATACCAAACAACAGGACGGGAATTCCCAAATTTCACCGATGTTTCGAAAATATTTAAAAACAAAGCAGGTGCTTAAAATACATACATTGAAAATACTAAAAAATATATATAGGGTGATTTATATTTATTGTTCAACGTGTCAAACAGCGAGAACGACGATAAATTTTAATTCTCATGTAACGACCGCGCGATTGAGGTGAAAGTTGAATTATAACAGGCATTTTAACGCGTCACAGGTGAATGACGGGCTATTTACGTACACGCCACTGTCAAACGTTGAAATTTCACAGGGCTGTCGCGGCACGATCGCATGACAAAGAATCGGAATAACTTTCGCGACCATAATTTCGCGGCTGGCATTACGGGATTTCGCGGTTTCGAGCCCCGGCCGCGTTCGATCTGGCGAGATTATATCGCGTGAAATTCACGAGCCTCTGCCGGCGCGGCGTTCGATCAATCCCCAGCACGCTGATATGACGCCATTAATAGCTTCCACAGGTGAAAAATCCATTTATTCCTCGTAGAAAAATTACAGCGAATGTGGAATCTGGTAATGTAACAAATAAAAAAGATTTTACTAATATTGCGGTAATAGACCTGACGAGAAAAGGTAATGATACGAACACAACGGGTGTCTTAATATTTACGAATGTAAAATATGGAATATGAAATATGGAATCTCTTAATACGAGTGCAACGATTTTTCCTAATATTGTGATAATAAATCTGACGAGAAAAGATAACGATACGAACACACCGGGTGTCTCAGTATTTACAAATGTAAAGTATGGAATCTCTTAATACGAGTGCAACAATTTTTCCTAATATTGTGATAATAAATTTGACGAGAAAACTTAATGATGTGAACATACCGGGTGTCCCAATATTTACGAATGTAAAATATAGAATATGATATCTCTTAATATAGCAAGTGCAACGATTTTTCCTAGTATCGTGATAATAAATGTGACGAGAAAAGGTATTGATACGAATACAACGGGTGTCCCAATATTTACGAATGTAAAATATGGAATATGAAATCTCTTAATATAGCAAGTGCAACGATTTTTCCTAGTATCGTGATAATAAATGTGACGAGAAAAGGTATTGATACGAATACAACGGGTGTCCCAATATTTACGAATGTAAAATATGGAATATGAAATCTCTTAATATAGCAAGTGCAACGATTTTTCCTAGTATCGTGATAATAAATGTGACGAGAAAAGGTATTGATACGAATACAACGGGTGTCCCAATATTTACGAATGTAAAATATGGAATATGAAATATGGAATCTCTTAATACGAGTGCAACGATTTTTCCTAATATTGTGATAATAAATCTGACGAGAAAAGATAACGATACGAACACACCGGGTGTCTCAGTATTTACAAATGTAAAGTATGGAATCTCTTAATACGAGTGCAACAATTTTTCCTAATATTGTGATAATAAATTTGACGAGAAAACTTAATGATGTGAACATACCGGGTGTCCCAATATTTACGAATGTAAAATATGGAATATGAAATCTCTTAATATAGCAAGTGCAACGATTTTTCCTAGTATCGTGATAATAAATGTGACGAGAAAAGGTATTGATACGAATACAACGGGTGTCCCAATATTTACGAATGTAAAATATGGAATATGGAATCTCTTAACATAACAAGTGCAACAATTTTTCCTAGTATTGCGATAATAAATCTGACGAGAAAACTTAACGATACAAACCCACCGGGTGTCCCAACATTACCGAACACCAGTCCACACGCGGATAAGCGAGGGACCGATTAATTCACTATGATTAACGCATAAACGAACAATCGAGGGGTTAATTATATGAAATATCGGGCTTAATATTGAAAACGATTGTCGTTAAACGAAATTCTATCGGCGCTCACGCGACGTCAATTAAGCGTCGCTTCATTGCGTTATAATTAATAAAATCGAGGTTGAATCGAACGAATGAAAATCGAACGTGATAGATGATGCACGCTCGCAGAAAAGACAATTCGAATTCTAACCTCGACGCCCCGCGCCGGATGTGAAATTTGCCATAATGCCGGCGCGCAGCGTACACTTCGCTACCCCACTCCCGTTCGTCTCGCTAATTTACCTATGCAAAAGTGATTAAACGATAACGTTCGCGTTCGAATCGAATAATCCGTCGGCGGCCGCGGCGCGAACTTTCAAAGGGAATAAATTAATTTGGCTGATTAAATCATTAAAACCGTGAGAACGGGAAGCTAGCTCCGGTGTGTCGGGAACGCGCGATTAAATCGACGTCGAAACAATTCCAATAATCGCGTACGGAAACTTTTTTTATCCCCGATGGCTAATGAAAAGTTTCCGGATCGGCTGGAGAGAAAAACGTTGATAACGAAATGAACGCTTCCAGTTTCTTTTTTCATCCCTCTCTCTCTCTTTTATTCACCGTAAAAATTCATTTCTACCAACGATACGCTCGAACATGTAAAAAAAAAAAAAAAAGAAAGAAAAAAAAACGAACAAACGCAATGTTCGTTTTGTAAATTCGACAAAAAAAATCTGCACTCGCGTCGAAGGATGTTTTCAAACGTACGAGAACGCCATGGTGGCGCAGAGAGGGAGAGGGGCGGCAGCTGTTAAAACTCGGTGAAAATTGGAAATTGGAAATGTCAAAGTAGAAACGCGTGATGACAGGAATTTTGACGTGGATCGAAGATGGGTAGTCTTGCCTGCGATACAGCTGATCCGCTTCGCGATGAAGGGCCTGAGCGTATTCTCGATTATTTTTCAGTGGAACTTTCGAGTCGAACTTTCTGTGATCGAGAAGAGCTCGACTTTCTGCGTTCTCGATGGCTTTCCTGGTGTCGTTTAGGTCTGGAAGATCGTCTTTCAGGCCTATGCTCGTGAGGACAGCCATTGAAGTTTGGAATTGGGGTGAACGTTGGCGATTACGAAGTCGAGTTTGAGTTCTTTTCAGAATAATTGGGTTTGAAGTTTGTCGGTTAATCGAGGTGACAATTTTTATGTAGAATGTTGGCTTGTGAGAGTTGGAATGGACGAATTATTCGAGTGATTCGGATGAGTTCGAATGTGAATTCTTTATTTGGATAATTCGAATCAGCAGGATAATTGGAACAATTGGAATCATTCGGAAAATTCGGATAATTCGAATATTCGACGTTGAAATCCGAATTCTACTGGCATTCGAATATTCGAATATTTCAAATATTCGTCGAATTATTCGAATAGTTCAACTATTCAAAGTTGAAATCCGAATTCTCGAGGTATTCAAATATTTCATTTATTCGACGTTGAAATACGAATTCCATTGGCATTCGAATATTCGAGTATTATGTTAACAGAGAACTCGAATACTCGAATATTCGAATTTTCACACCAGCCCTAATAAAAACTGAAACTTTTTTTCCAAATAGCGATATTTCCAGAGAAAATATGAGTAAAAATAAACCTGAAAAATGAACGCACACGGAACTGTATATTTACAAGCCACATATTTACAAAGCAGACGTACAAATTTAGTAGGACAGAACAAGTTTGGCTTCCAAAAACACACGGGAGCCTGAACTTCCCGTTCAACTCCCTCGCAAGCGGACAACGGACGACTCGTCCCATTATCATACACGATCTTCCTCGGAAATCTGCGAGGAAAATCCAACGTCAATTACATCTTCCTCGGATAAGGTGTTATAAACCGTTCGAATACTGCTTCCTCCTCCAGCAGGCTATTCTTCCAAGATTAACGCTCCAACGTCGATGAGAACGTTCTCAGATTATCCGAGAACCTGAGAAAAACTGACTTCGACGTTTTCTCACGTATCCTCGCTTCGCAGTCAACTGAAACATCAACCGTACTGTTATGTCACAGCCGAACAGAGACTCGAAAAACACAAATCTTCATTTTTCATTAACAGCTTTACAATTCAAAGGTGACTCGCGGAGTTTCAAATTTTCAAGGTTCGATGCACGTATTTAGGTCTCTACTTCAGCTCTAGGTCCTCTACTTTTGCTATTTACGATGTGAGAGGTGGTTAAAATTCGTAAGGGAGAGAGATCTGTGCCAGGGTTCGAGAGCTCGTGGAATCGAATCCCATTGGATCGAATGTTCTGAAGGGTGGTAGGAAAGTGATAGAGGATAGGCGGAAGAGGAAAGGTTAGGGCGTTTCGTCCTGGGCCTCCTAGTGAACTCGACAGTAACGCTTTCTAGGAGACCCGTGCCTTAGACACGGGAGGGACTGGAAGGACTCAGGTCAGAAGGTGTATATATACAAATAGGAGCCTTTATGAGGACTAGCGAGAACCTGTGGTTAGTCCGTCCCTCTGGTGGCAGAGCGTAGGAGGCTCGCTACAGTTCGAATCCAATCGCTCAAGAATCGGCGTTCGAGGATGAGCAAAGGATCTGAGTTCAAGAAATTCACGAGAGAAGAAGCTACAATTTGGTGACAAACAAGATATGAAAAGGAATGCAACGGATAGTAAGGAAGAAAATCATCGTTATCTCGGGAAATCTGTTTATCCCAACACTGTAATCGTCAAAGACAGAAGATCTTCCATCCCATCTCTCCCGTTCCACCCCTAATCGCGAAGACTCGCTACACCTCGCAGGTCGTTCATATTCATCGAACCCTGTTCCGAAGCGAAAATTGGCTATACGGTTCTCGTTTATCGGCTTGCGAATAGTTGAAGCCACTTCCGATCCCCAAATCCCCATATCAAACATCAACCTAACTTAACCAAGCCTTCGAAATCTACGCTTCGAAACGTCATTCATATTCATCGGATAGTCGAAATTCGTTACTTGGATGGTTCACTTGGCGCCGGTTAGAGTCTCCTGTTTTCTCATCCGACCGTTTCAACAATCTCTCTCTACTCCCGAGTCTTCGAAACTTCCCATCGCCTAAGCAGCATCTCTCGACACTTCTCATTCATATTCATCGAAGTCCACGTAACCGGGTCTCTCCTTGGAAGGCTCGTATCGCGCCAGCAACAGTCTCCTCGCCTCTTTCTTCGCATCTTTCGCGGGAGAAGGCATGATCGTCTTTCTTCTGCAGGGTAGCTTGAACTTCCGGTCTACGGTTTTGCAGCCAGGCATCACCGACAGTCTTCGTTTGGCTGGAACAGCCTCCATCCGTCGCCAGAGGAAGTCCACCTCTGGTTTCATGTCCTCGGGCATTAGATTGAGGATCAATTGTTGCCTGGCGGAGATCGGATCGAAGTCGAGGAGTTTCTCCATGTCCATGTCTTCGATCACTTCGACGGCGCTTTTGTAGAAGTCTACTAGAAAGTCTAGACCTAATTCTTTGGAGCTGGACAGAGCTATCAGTGCAGCTTCTTTGGCTTCGTTGCGGTAATTTTGACTGATCTCGATACGGAGGAAGAGATGTTGGGAGTTCAACACCCAGGCCTCGTTGCCTGCCTCCTGGCCCATGTCTCTGGCCTTCTTGCCGTAGAATCGGGCCAGGTCGTAACGACGGATGTCGATTAGGTACTTGGAGAGCTCGTGGAAGAGCCAGGCTAGCTCGAGAGGCTCTGACGCCATGGCTAGTCGCCTGGGAATGGAATTTTGTTAGGGTTTGAGGTGGTATTTTAGGGAGATTGAGTGGAGAGGAATTTTTGACGAGATGAGTGTTTGAAGTAAGTTCTTGGACTGTGAGTTTAATAATTTATCGTGGTGGAATGGAAGAGAGTGAAAGAGGAGTGTGATTCATAAGTTGGCGAAGCTTTGAGAATAGAGAGATGAAATAAAAAGGATACTGAGTTTAATTAGCGAGGGAATTTGATTAGAGTGTAAGATAATGTTTTGAAGAGAAGTATTTCGTGAATTTTTCAAGAATTGTTAATTGTAAATAGAGGAGAACGAACTTGCGAAATTTCTTGAGAGCAGCTTTCCCATCAGCAACTCTTATCCAGCCAATGTCGCTGTCACGAGGTAGTTCAGCCACGCGAATTCCTAGGTGATGCTTTAAGTACGTTTTTTTAAGCCCTGTCTGCCATATCTTCGTTAGATCACGAGTGTCTATGTACGTCCAACCGACCATGTTGTAAACCGCGTCCAAACATTTTTGTCTCATGGGGAACAGCCTCAAGTTGTACGAGTCGAATTTGTCTTTAATACGGTCCACCATTCTAAAAAAATCGGGATACTTCTAACTCTTTCTAGCAAAAGATTTAATGATAAAACTAAAAATCGTCCCTTTCAATTTTTCACACTATTTTCTACACTTCTTCAAATTGAATTCGCCGTTTTTACATATTTCTGGGAGACTATGACACACTCTCTTCAATAATAGAAAGGAAATTTAACGATGAAATTAGAAATTTTACCGCTAGTCTCTCCACTTCTTCTTTTACGTATTCCTAGCAATGTTGCAAATTACTATACTCTCATGACGACTAACCTAAAGAAGGTTATATAGTCCCTCTGCATCCTAACTTGGTGGAGACGACGCAACAGGTAGTCTGCCTGCACGATGATCACGCTCCTCTTCAGCTTCTTCTCCGCGGCGATCATCGCTTTGTGACCAGGAGGAATCTCTCTACGCTTGAAGATCATCACGTAGAGTGGACGTCTCATTCGTAGAATGTTCATTCTGCGCACCCCTCTGCGATAGTTTCTCAGTACAATAGCGTGAAGTATCTTGGTGCTGCTCTTATTGGGTGACATTAATTCCTCGGGGTGTTCGGCCAAATATTGCAGGAATTCCTTGTCGTGAGCCAAATGGCCTAGGTATATCTTCGCGAAGATTCGTTGAAGCTGTCTGAATTCAGCTTTAGCTCGAGCCTCCGGATCATTTACTTTGAACCTGGATTGCTCTTCTTCTATGCCTGAAACATAGTGGATTATACAGCGGGGAGAGAACGCGTGGGTAGAGGGCGCGCGAATAGAGAGCGCGTGGATAGAGAGCGTGCGAATAGAGAGCGCGTGAGTAGGGAGCGCGTGAATAGAGAGCGCGTGAGTAGAGAGTGCGTGAATTAGAAAGCGCGTGGGTAGAGGGTGCGTGAGTAGAGAGCGCGTGAGTATAGAACGCGTGAATAGAGAGCGCGTGAGTATAGATCGCTTGAATAGAGGGCGCGCGAATAGAGAGCGCATGAGTAGGGAGCGCGTGAGTATAGAGCACGTGAGTAGAGAGTGCGTGAATTAGAAAGCGCGTGGGTAGAGGGCGCGTGGATAGAGAGCGCGTGAATTAGAGAGCGCGTGAATTAGAGAGCGCGTGAATTAGAGAGCGCGTGAATAGAGAGGGCGTGAGAATATAAAGCGCGTGAGTAGAGAGCGTGTTGATTGAGGGCTCGTGAATATAGAGCGTGTGAATTAGAGAGCGCATGAATAGAGATCGCGTGGATAGAGAGCCCGTGAAAAGAGGAAACGTGAATAGTGATCGCCTAAAGAAAAAAGCGCCTAAAGAGAGAACGCGCGGATAGAGAGCGTTAGGAAAAAGAGATGGTCCACCGAAAACTGCGTCCATACTACATTACATTTCAATTAACATTACCACTGCGGGTTGCTGGGGGAGACAAAGGCGCTCTCTTATTACAATTTCAAATAAAACCGTGGGAGCGGAACCCAGGCCACGTCGGCTCGGCTCGGCTCAGTGAAATATCATCGGGAGATAAAATGTTCGAGTAAAGTAGAATTGATCGCCGCAGCGATAAAGTAGAATTAATTATCTTTTTAAAGTGCTGGCCGGTGTTCACTCGTTCATCATCACCGTGTATCCCGGTTTCTGTCCAGGGAGAACCCGTTGGATATTGTTCGTTAACGTGATTACAACGTCCGTTGGGGGGTGTTGTAACGTCACGGAGAAAATTAAACCGTTTAACGAATGTTATTAAGTTGTAAAGAATCCCTTTTCTCCTCCTTTTCTAAAAACAACATTCTAACTTCTCGGTGATTATTTTCTTCAAACTCTCAGGAAAACGTCCAATATTAAAGAAACTTGGTTTTTGTTCTTAAACTTACAACTTTAAGTAACAGAATATTTAAAAAATTATAATATACGTATGCAAATTACGCGTTATTTCAGTCGTACTTTCACTTCAAAAAAGTTATCACACAAGTGTTAAAATTAAGAAAAAAGGGGAAAAATAATGAAACAAAATTAGCTTTCAGAAAGGGAACCCATTTAATTGGAAACTGTTTTTTCCCATCTCTTGTTGCTTTTACCTGCGAACTCATCCACTTCCTCTTTGAGCTTCTCGATCATCAGCTTCCTGTACTCCGTGAGTTCTCGAATCCACGGAGAAAGAAGCTGAAGAGCATTAGGCGCCGAATCTCTGCCTACACAGTCCTCGACGGTCTCGTTTCCCAACAGTATTCCATGCTCGAGGAACGTGGTTCGATATTTCTGGTAGCCCTGGTGTGCGTGCACCAAGCTGTACTCGAACTCGCCCATGTGGAACAACGTTTGCAGCTGCATGTGCTTCACGTACGAGTATGTTGGATCTGAAAATGAATGGAATTTCAGGGAGGAATGGGATAATCATGTTCGACCGTCCAGTAGTAGTGTTCCTCAGTCATGTTAATTATCCCAAATTAATCAGGATTTCGTAATTCGTTGGGAAAGAGGAAACTTTTCGAACGTTTCATTTCAGGATGAAGGATCTTTTAAACTTTTCGAAGATGGAGATGAAATTGACAGAGGCATTTAAATATTTGTTGAAATTCAAAGGGTGAGGTGTTGGAAAATTGGAAAATGAGGAGGATTACGTTTGATCTTCAAAGGAGTAAAATTAGTAAAATTAGAGAGATTCTGGAATAGTTATTTTCAATGTTTCTACGTCATATTTTTATTAATTTCTCAATTTCTTCAAGTAGCTGAGAAAAATAAACGTGAATGGTATAATTTGTGGATAAAATCTGTGCAGACTTGATTGACAAAATTAAATTTCCACACTTCTATAACTCTACTCAAACTCTAAAAATCTCAAAAATCTAAAAAACTGAAATCACTATTAAATTTCCACACTTTCGTAACTCTACTCAAACTCTAAAAATCTGAAAATCTAAAAAACTGAAATCACCATTAAATTTCCACACTTTTATAACTCTACTCAAACTCTACAAATCTCAAAATCTAAAAAACTTAAATTACTATTAAATTTCCACACTTTCGTAACTCTACTCAAACTCTAAAAATCTGAAAATCTAAAAAACTGAAATCACCATTAAATTTCCACACTTTTCTCTGGGGAAACTCTTTGAGTAACTCTACTCAAAGTCCACAACTAAAGAAATTAAAAAAACTGCGATCACTATTAAATTTCCACACTTTTACATTACTCAAAATCCACATTTCAACAAATTAAAAAAAAACTGAAATCACTATCTTCCCACAGAAAAAAAAAATAAAATAAAATCACCTGTACACTTATTTTATCCACCAACTGTACCATTTACATTCACCTCCTTCGCCTACCATCGTTTCAAAAAATGTTCCGTCAACTTCGCTGAAACGCAAATCACCAGAAATTCTAACCTATCTCTATACACTTCTTGGTGCTAATCACCGCCCTGTTGAACCTGGCATAATTGAGCTGCGTCTTGCACAGCCCGAGATAAGTCCTGAGATCGTTACGCTGTCCCTGTTCGATCGCTTTCTCGAAGTATTCCTCCGCGGTCGGATATTCTTCGAGTGCAGCGAACCGGTAGCCCCATTCTCTATACACTATGCCGTCCCTGAAGAACAGAGCGTTCTCGTCCTCTTTCCTCGCCATCTTGTATCCGCCGGTGGAAACTTTCTTTCACCGCTGGAACGACGAACAGACGAAAGGGAAATTATTCGGAAAATTTCACCAGGCTGAAATGGATCCGTGGAACTTCGTCGAGGCTAACCTGTCCCTCTCCCACCGCCGACCGATCGATATGTAATTCACGAGGTGGAAGGAACCGCCGGTAAGGAGTTCGGAGGAGGAGCTCCGACGTTTCACTCATGAATTTTGCACCGCACGCTGAAGAGGCTGAACGGTTCCGTGGTCACATTTTTATGAAATCGAAACGGGACAGTTTGTGGAAAACGGTTCGAACGCTTCTGCCGCGCACTTCCGTCTGATAACAGCTGATATTCGTACGCGTGGCGGGTATAGGGTGGCTCGAATTTTATCGGATACCGTCGTTTGTTTTTCGATTCAATTTTCTGGAGGAAAGTTTGCTTTTTGGGGGGGGAATCGATGCAAATTCATTCTTTCGCTAACTTTTGGCAAACTTTCGCAAATTTTGAATGACTCTTCTCAGTTTCATTTGCCTCTTTAAAAATATACGGTGACATTGAGTCAACGAACTGAAGAATTTGCGAACGAAGACGGTGAATTAATTTACCAACTTAAATATTTAAAAATATAAAAATTTCTACGTTCACAAAACCCTATTTTCCTACATTCTCCACAGAAGTAGAAAATCCGAAAAGGTACTGAAATCCAAAGAAAAATATTCTCATCGAAGTAACGCATTATTCTTCCGGCAGTTTCTCCGTTTTAAAGAATTCCGCTTCGCCGGTGAAAACTGAAATCCACTTCACATTCGCCGCATCCGCGACCTGAATGAAAGGAGCACGGTTTGCTTAGTGGCCTTTGACGAAGGGAAAATTTCAGAGTGGGAGGTGGAATCGTCGTTCCCTTCGCGATTTTTGAGTCGATGTAGGACTCCTTTGAGCGGGGAGATCCAACAAGCGGGTTGGTAATCCGCTTTCGACTCTAAAATAGCGACTGGCGAGCACGTAAAGCTCCTTGTGGCATTAATTGTCACGCACGACGGGGGATTATATTGAAATGGCCGAAGTGGATTTGCGGCTGGGACTCTTTTCTTTTTTTTTTTTTTCTACTCTTTTACCCCGGTTTTTATTACCAGAAATGGCGCTTCTCTCTTCGTTGCACCGTGCAGCCTGAATATTAATCGCGGGAGGTCGTGAAATGTGAGTCCTCCTCCTGATATTTTTGTTTTCGTGAGAAGTGTACCGTTCGCGTATCGTGTGACCGACGATTTTTACGGTGGTCTGCGTCAAACTAATCACGCAAATCGATTTGGAGAACGGTTAGTTTAAAAATGTCTCGAAAAGTTTTACCCTTATCATCTGATTAAACTAGTCAAATTTTTACAATAAATGTAATAAGGAAATGGTGTATAGTTGTTACGTGTGACGTATTTGTACTGACTGAGAAATTGTGGTGGTGGTTGAGTATTGTTAGCGCAGCTTCCCGCGCTTCTTGTTGGTTGGAAGGTCGAGTTGGCGTTGGTAATTATTGCACGTGTATGTGCCAACTACTGATTGTCGCGATGGTGATCGCCTTTATTTGTGATGTCGATTATTGCGGACTGGACCGCACTGGTGTATCAAGAATATCGAGCATCGCGTGTTAGAGCGCTCAGAGTGGCGTCGATTGTTTCTATGTATATCTTAGAATCTGCCCGAATGTCGTGAACTGGCTGTACATCTATCATTTCGTCAAAATGGGGAGTTTACCTTGTTGGCAAATCATGGGCCTTTCACGCCCTAGAGCCGCCCTCCTAGGCCCTCGTGCGCTCCCCCGTGGTCCGCAGAGTAGGGCGTTGGCAGAGAGGGAGAGACGGTCCCAAACGGGGGTGTCAGCCCCGCGTGGCGATCTTACCGAAACGTCGACTTTACGGGTTTATGGCATTTTTACCGTTACTGAGCGCGCAGAGGCAAGTACCGGCTTACCATGTGGCCCGCAGAAGTGGAGAATTTCCGCGGCCATCAGGTAACAAGCCGGATTTGCCCTCTGGCTTGAATAGGCTACTGTTATCGAAAAACTTCTCAGAAGTAACGTCGCTTGGAATCCGTGCCATAAACCCCTGTTGGTTAAACAGGTATATGTTTGGTATGTCTGAGAGGGTGTGGTTGTAGGTGTGTTTCAAGTGGAGATGACGATTGGTGGAGGTTGGCAAATTTTGACTTTTAGGATTGTGGGTGTGGAAGAAGTGAGCTGATGGTAGGGGTGACGTCGGTGAGGGAGTGACGAGCTGGCGGTCGGTGTAGACAATGAAGTCATAAAGTCGGTAGATCTGGTAATGCATGCTGACTAAACCTTTTTCCTTACGCGGTGCTGCGACATCGGTTGGCCAAATGTCCTTATTGCAGGGTGTCCAGGATTTGGGAAGAGTAGGATTTAGCAGATGGTTAAAAAATGTAAAGATGAATTATGGTTCGGTACCGGACAAGGAGTATACTGGTTTCTTGGGCCAGGATTTGGGAAGAGTAGGATTTAGCAGATGGTTAAAAAATGTAAAGATGAATTATGGTTCGATACCGGACAAGGAGTATACTGGTTTCTTGGAATTGTGTTCTGTCTGCGTTCTCCAAAATGGCCACCGTTCTCGAGGGAAGTAATTGAGAAGGTGTTAAGAATATTCTCTGAGAAATTGGAAGTAAAATTCTTGGAAAAATGGAAAGTCTCATAAAATAAATGTGAAAAAATTGGGGATCTCTTAAAAATTATGTTTTCAAGTTCCAAAGGTCCAATATTAATTTGTTGTAATGGCTGATTATCGAAAAATGCGCTGAAAGGAGTGTCAGAAGAATTGTAAATAAAATTCTTATCAAAAATTAAAATTCTCATGTAAAATAAATCTGAAAAAATTGGAAATCTCTTATAAATGATATTTCCAAGTAGCAGAGGTCCAGTATTAATTTGTTATGAAAGGTAATTATTAAAAAAAACGCTAAAAAGTCTCTCTTAAAATTAGAAACAAAACTCTCCCAAAAATTGAAAATCTTCCATTTAAAAAATGGGAAAAATTTGAGTCTGTGAAAAATGATATTTTCAAGCACCAAGGGTTCAAAAACTCTGAATTATCGAAGGCATAGAACTTGAGGTTTGGTTAGATGTAAAGTCTGGTAGGTTTAATTTCTTATTTACGTTGGAAGAGATAGAGAATTACGTTGAAGAGAGGATTTGTGTAATTTTGCCGCAGATCACTGGTGAAGCAGCTCGTTTAGGAAGGTAGAGACGTCGAGTAATCGTGGACCATCGGTTTAGCGGTGCCCTCGAGATGCGGTGATGGCTCTGCTGTACAGATTCGCGCAGCTGCCTGATCGCAGTGGCACGCGGGTCTTCTCGTTCGTCGTCACCAGGAGTGTGGTACGCGACCCCGAAAGAGACGTCACCAGTAAGGAGCTCGTATGCGGCTTCCAAAGATGGTCCGTCGCGTTCTCGCGAGGAAACAAGGTAAGCTTAAACCTTCACGCTGTTAGATATTTAATGGACCATGTTATGTGTTACTTGCATCTCTACATCGCGAAATTGTCGAATATACTAATTTTCGAATTCTCAGACTCTCGAGGTACTTAATTCTCAAATTTGCGAATTTCTAAGTCCCCAAACTCTTGGGGTCTCAAATTTCTGAATTCTCAAACTCTCGAATTTTGAAATCCCCAAACTCTCAAATTTCTAAGTCCTCAAGTTCTCGAGTTGTCAAATTCTGGAGGTCTCAAATTTCTGAATTCTCAAACTCTCAAATTTTGAAATCCCCAATCCCTCAAATTTCTAAATTCCCAAGTTCTTAAACTCTCAAATTTCCAAATTTCTGAGTCCCCAACTTCTCGAGTTCTCAAACTCTCGAGGTCTCAAATTCCCAGATTCCCAAACTCTCAAATTTCTAAATTTCCAAGTCCCCAAATTGTCGAGTTCTCAAACTCTCGAAGTCTCAAATTTCCAAATTCTGAAGCTCTCAAATCTCCAAATTCCTAAATCCCCAAATTCTCAAATTCCCAATCTCTCGAGGCCTCAAACTCTCAAACTCTAGAATTTTCAAATTTCCCACTTTCCAAATTCTCAAATACTCAAATTTTCAATGTTACACATATGCGGACTATCGACAGCTCACTTTGCACTACATAAAACACGTGCAAAAGTATATTATACTGTCAAAAATTGAACACATATCGATGGTAGGTAAAATTTGTAATTCTCCAGTGGCAAGGAACGTGTTAAAGCGTGAATTTTTAAAATAGCCGTCGCCGCAAGGGTTTATGGCAGGCGAACATCGAATTTTTAGTTCTCGCCTCCTGAACTATATAACTGTCAGAAAATTGTACCTTTTTTTAAATTTCCCATCTTTTACCCTACCTCCACTCGCGCACTAACAATCAAAAAATTAAACAAAAAAATAAGCAACTTGAAGAAACCTAAATTCAAATACATCGTAATACAATGTCGAGAGTTGTTCTCCCTTTAAAAGTCCAAAAAACAAAATTGATGGAAATTTCGAGATAACACCAATTGGTTATGAAGTAACTTATTAATCGCGACGCTATTAAATACGCAATTAAAATGGTCAAACAATAGAGCAAAGTGCAGACCGTAAATTTCGCCGAGAGGAGTGTTGCTCGGCCATTTATCAGAATTCATCAGTAAAACCGTGCATCGATCTGGTGCAAATGAAGCGAAATTGTTGTAAGCGTCGCGTCCAGTTCAGCCACGAAGCACAGCCTCGATTGTTTTTCATTTTCCTCGGTTGGAATGCGACGAAACCCTCTGCAACTAGTCGCGGTGGCTAGCCGCGGATTGTTCGAAAAATCGACCGTTTATTCGAAGATTTATTCGACTGCACCTCTACCGAGTGTTCAGACATAAATCGTCCAATTATCCTACTCGTAAAACCAAGAAAAAATTAGATTCGAAACAGTATTTTATAAATAATTCCAAAAATATAGAAATTGCATAAATGTTCGTTCAAAAATTTTCTCAAATTTATTTAAATACCAAAATTCAAAATTAAATGTAAAATTTCCATTTTGAGTATAAAATTTTATTTTTGATTTTTTTAGTTTCCGATTTTTATCGCCGTTTTTCTATGCATCACACTGCGCTACGAAACTGTGAAAAAAGAAAAAAAAAGAGAAATGTCATCGTTTAACTCGGTTGGATCAACATTTGCTCATCGATTAATCTCGACAGTGGCTGGTTGTTCGATGTAGCGGTGAACCCAGACTGGACACGGTCGTCAGATTGAAAAATCAATCGATAATGGTGAAGCTCGAAATTCAATTAACGCGAGGAGCCAGCCGCTTTTGTAAATACGCCCTGGTTGATCGAGCGCCGCGTATCAAAATATGCCGCGATTAACGCGATAATTAGATAACGTATAATATCGGGGGAATTAATGAAGCGGCCGCTCATAATCCCGCCGTCGAAGCTTGGCCAGCGCGCCGGTGGAGAGAAAATCGCGAAATCTCGCGGTGTCGTGCGCTCAAAATTAAAAACTTAGAATTGAAACTTAGGGTGACAAAAAGTGAGGACGCAAAATTTGCAAGAGAAACTTAAAATAGAAATAAGGATTCGAAATTTGTAAAAGGAACTTAGGATACCAAATTTTCAGATGACACTTGGGGTGAAGAAAATAAGGATAGAAAATTTTCAAATGAAACTTAGGATCGATTATGCCCCGAGTGAAAAAAAAGTAAAGATACAAAATTTGAGAATGAAACTTAGGATCGATTATGCTTCCTCTGCACCGAGTTCAAAAAATGAGAATACCAAAATTTAGAAATGAAGCTTAGGATTGATTATGCTTCCTCTCCACCGAGTTCAAAAAATGAGAATCCAAAATTTAGAAATGAAACTTAGGATCGATTATGCCCCGAGTGAAAAAAAAGTAAAGATACAAAATTTGAAAATGAAACTTAGGATCGATTATGCTTCCTCTGCACCGAGTTCAAAAAATAAGAATACCAAAATTTAGAAATGAAGCTTAGGATTGATTATGCTTCCTCTCCACCGAGTTCAAAAAATGAGAATCCAAAATTTGGAAATGAAACTTAGGATCGATTATGCCCCGAGTGAGAATAAAGTAAAGATACAAAATTTGAGAATGAAACTTAGGATCGACTATGCTTCCTCAGCACAGAGTTAAAAAAATAAGGCTAAACTTATTCAAAGAGGGTGAAATATCACAAAAATTTGAAATTGTAATTTTGGTAGAAAAAAGAAGATCGAAATGTTTACTCAAGTAAAGAAAGAAATATCGAATTTATTGGTCACCCGGTGTACACAGAGTGCAACCACGTATCATATCGACGCACACGACCGCGTGGTATTAATATAATTTCGAGAGGTCTATTTTCCCGCCGCGAATAACGATTAGGCGAAAGCAAATCCTCGATCGACCCAGTTACGATATATCAACGATCCTCCAGCTCTTCAACTCGATCGCCTACTCTCTCTCTCTCTCTCATTAATCTTCTCTATCGATTCGCCGGAAGCTGCTGAAAAATGCGCATAAATTGGCGAAAGGAAAATCCATGCCGTAACTGCACGTTTCTCAAGCCTCGAATTATCATTTCTATTAATCTGTTATTATTTTCCTCCACGACGAATACTTATCTTTTCGTTATTTCCTTCGAATCTCTTTCTACTTTACGAGACGAATAATTCATCGACCGAGAGATTATACATTTGTATGTCTGCGAGAGATTTCTTCTTATCTAAAATAAGATTAAATAAATCGAGAAGATTAACTAAATTCAATTGTTCATCGGTGCTTTTTATATTTGGAACAGAAGAATTTCTTTATGTGTATTATTGTTATCAAAAATATCATCGGCTTCGCGAATCGTGCGGGAGCCAACAGCAACCGTTAAACCTTCTAACAAATCCTTTAATCAGATTCTAGGCGCGTACCTAGTATGGCGTGGTGCCTCGAGGAACCTGCGTGTGTACGTGGACTTCACGTTCACCCTGTTGAACCGCGAGCACTTCTCGAAGAACGAGGGATTCTCCGGGCGGCGCGTGAAATTCACGTACGAGGCGCCTGCACAGGGCAACCGCAACTACATCGCCGTATCGGACCTCTACAATCGGAACTTCGCCGACACGAACGGCGAGTTTCAGCTGGAGTTAACCATGGCGAACGTGAAAACGGTGTACATGACCGATCTGAAGATGCCAAGCAGCACGTTTCCAGCTGGACAATCCAAGCAGAATAAACTGGAGACCGATTATTTCGCGTTCGGTGGTTTCGATTGGAACTTGGTCATCTATCCGCATGGAAACAAAGAGTTGGAGGGTTATCGTGGGCACGACGGCGGGATTAGCGTGTATCTGATGAGAATGAGCGGCTTCGATCATCGTTGTAGAGTGAGATACAGCGTGACTTTGGGCGAGGGAGATCGTAGAATTAATTCCGGACAGATCGAGGACCTGTCTGACGCTGAAGGATGCGGTTTCGGATGGCATCCTCGTGTCAGATGGTCCGATATAGCGCACAAAGGCGTGGTTAGAGTGTACCTAGAGATGGTAGAAGTTAGGACCATCTGTGAAGTTGCTGTTCAAGCGAGAGGACCGTCGAATCTGCCAGCTACGCCGTTCTACGACCGGGACAAACGAGCTTGGACGATCAGAGCTGATCTACACTCGGACACAGTCAGGCTTCATTTGGTCTACAAGGATATTCACAACGTTCCGCAGAATCATTTGAGGTTGGTAGATCGATTAAATTCGGAAAGATATTCGCGAGTAGATAGTATCGATTTTGTCGGAGGTTTGATGTATCGGGTGATAACGAAACAGGTGGGTAAACTTTGCTGTCGCGTTTCTTAGATAAGACTGTGTTATCAGGGGAGGTTGTTTGAGTATGTTCGATATTGAATTTACTTGATATTTTTTTTCTTTTTTTTAATATTTTCTACGCGCTTTTCGGCTTTCTTGCGATTTATTTGGGATTTAAGAAGAGTAGAGTGGGATAGTTCAGTTTGTGTGTGTACTTCGTTGTCACCCTGTGTATGAGACACTCTGAAGGTGAATTGATTAACTCTAGTTTTTGATACGCTTGAAATTTTGGGTATCAAAGGGTATAGTGTTCTGCGCTGAGAAGATGGCGGAAGAAATGCGAGTTTTCATTTGTAAAGTCAGATCACATAGATTTTTATTATTAGCCGAAACGGTCGTATTTGGTAAAGTATCGCGTGAAAGGTGAGGAGAGCGGCTTACTTGTCTTGCCTCTGTGTCCTCCCGCTCGCCATCTTCTCTGCGCAGGACTATACTTTATTTTTAATTTTTCACAAACGAAATTTAGTAAATTTTATTTTATAGAGTTAGTCACTTTGGCTTTGAAGTGTCTACTTTTTGAAATTCTCCAAATTTTCCTACCAAAACAACAAATTTCATAAATTTCATTCCCCAGAGTTACTCACTTCACCCTCCAAGTGTCCCCTACAAATAATCACCCCTCGCTTGAGAAACGGTAAATTTAAAGCTACCACGGGTAGAATCTTAAATTCCTCCAATCGATGACCCCGATTTCCCCAGACACCTCTCTGAATCCTTCAATTAAACTCCCCCCTCGTCCTAACACCTCGGCCCCGAGCACCTCTCAACGAAGAAAACAACGATTGTTTTAATCGTCAGGTACGTCAGCTGGTCAGCCTATCTCCTCCGCGACGAGGAGCCTACCCCGGTCGCGATCAGTCTCCCAGGTGCCCCGTTCAGCCGTTACTACGCCCAGGAATCCGTGGACGAGGGTATAATAATGGAGACGAATCTCGACACGAACGAGGTGAAAGAGAATCACTGTCCGTTCCTAACGGACAAAGGACAACTGAGGATCCGGCTGGAATGGAACGAGAGTCACTTGCTGTTCCAGGCGACCTACCACAAATACGACGACGTGTGTCGTATCCACAACGAACAGATGAGACGAGAGATCACTTCGTTGCAGGCGGAGAATCTCAGTTTGGAGAGGCAGTTGTTCAGTTATCAGAAGAGTCTCGCTTACACGCAGGCGCAGCAACAGCAACAGCAACAGCATCAGAATCAACAGCATCACGGTGGCCATCAGGCGCACCTAGAGAGATCAGCGTCCACAGACACCGAATACGCCTGACAAATGGAACAGATGACGCACGGAAACGAGGTGACCGGTACAGCAACAGCCGGTTCACGTCGGCAATTGCCGATCGTCCACGTGGACGATCATCGGGTGCATCAGAATCTGGTGAGGATGATGGACCGTCGTTTGAGTAACGTGCAACTGCAGCAACATCTGTACGACGCTGAAACGACGTATCATCAGCAACAACAGCAACAGCAACAACGTTACGGTGACGGTTCGCCGCGTCAGAGCGTAGATCGAAGCAGCAGCACGGATACAGCCACCGCTGTAACAACAACAACGACACACCGTCTGAGTATCGTGCAGCAACTGAAGTCCTCGGCGAGGTCCAGCATAGGGAGATCAGACAGCGGCGGCGGTGGAGGAGGTGGAGGAGTAGGTACGGATCGTGGTACAGACCGTTACACCGGCTATTATTTGGGGTACGTCGGTCAGGCAGCGCACAAAAGACGTAGGACGACTTTCTGGGAGACCCTGACGGGTCTTGTGTGCTCATTGGGCGCTTTGGCTTCCAGGGCTGCCAAGATGGCCACCAGACGGGGCGAACCTCTTTAACACACGCGTACACGCGGACCAGCGGAGGACTGGTACACGTATCGTGGATAGAAAGAATTGGAGAATTAATTGATGATAATGATGATGATGATGATGGACGGAGATAAAAACAAAGATCGAACAAGTGATAAGGATACGAGAGGATGATTGTATGTGACGTGTTGTGAACACACGTTCGATGGAAGAGAATTTAGGAGAGATGAAAATGAAGTGTAAGAGATGACCAAAGTGTTTTTATTTATATATATACATATATGAGGGATGTTCAACGTTGAACATCGATGAGATAGAGGAAAGTTTTGCTCGGATGTTCGTACCGGTGGAGCTTCGCCACGATTCGTCCTATTAAATCGAGAGGACGTGGAGCTTGCCGTGAAGGGGATAACCGAAAAACAAAAATATATATATATAAAACAAAAGTATTTCTTTCCTTCCCTTGAGCGAGCGGGTTACGCAAGCTCGTGACCAGATTTACTGATCAACTCGACAATATGGCGGATGGACGAGGCGAGAGGGGAAGATAGCGGTGACGAGAGAGAAGAGACGTGGAGATGACACGGCCGATTGATCATTTTCGTACATTTCTCTGTTTTGTTTTTCTTTCTTTTCTTCGATTTTTCTTTCTTCTTCTGTTTCTTTTTCTTTGGTTTCATTACTTTTCATCTTGTCTCTTGTTTGCTCGATGAAACTCGATGGTGGAGGAACGGAGCAAGAGCGAAGAGACAGGATGCTTACGATTGCCTCTGTGGCGTTGAATTTTTCACGTTTGTGTCGAAGGTCAATCGAATGGAACCAAACACTGGAGGAGGAACCAAGGATGATTTTGACAAAATTTCACGGTCACATAATACACACACGCATATATTACACAGACACACACATACACATTTGGTAGGAATCAAAAAGAGAAGCACACGGATAGAGGGAATCGGATGGTTGGAAATTTTCGATGTTAGAGAACGATGATTTCCCTCGATTAACGAATTCTACTACTACTAACTATTACTATTACTCTACTGCACACACGTACACACCAGAAACACAATTCTATCTACTACTTTGTCAATTTACTAAGGAGAAACCAAAACAAAAAATAATCAAGCGACAAAAGCATTAGAAAAAGGAAAAAAAAACAAAAACAAGAAACCTATTTTCCTCTAGAAAGACTTTTTTCACCTATCGTCTGCGACTTCTTTGATAAAAAAAATAAATAAATGAATCCGTGCGCGGCGTAGTCACCGAGTCGTCTTAAACAGCGTAACTTATTATTAACTATGGTAGTTATTATAACTCTTACTAATGTTAATTAAAAATAATACTAATAATAATAATAATAATAATGAAATAATTACTTTAGAGTGCAGTCGATGTTACAATAATAATTAATAAAAAAAAAATACCGAAAGTAGGGGAGAACGCGAACGACTCTCGATATCTCAACTTGCTCAGAGAAAGAGAACGATCGACGTGGTATATACACACCGTGCACACACACACACGCGCGCGCGCGCAACAAACACAGACATTTAAATGTTCGTACACTCGACCATTGGCTTTTTCTCCAACGAACTAAGGCCAAAAAAAAAATGAGACCAGGGTAATAAAACAAAAAAAGAAAAAGCAACAAACAAATGCGAACGATCCGCGTCAAATTCTCTCGACTGTATCCCATCCGTGTGTCGACGATACGTTTCAATTCATTGTAGTATCGTACGGAGAGATTCGTTAATTTCTTTCACTTTTAATTATTGTCCAGTCCAATCTGTATGTGTGTGTGTATGTGTGTGTGTTTTTCTCGATCTATCTTTCCATGTTTATTATTCGAATCGTTCATCGATAAAACGTATATATGTATGTGTATAAATTTATTCCTTTCCTCGAAAATTAGCAATTACACCAAGTTGCGTGTTTAATCGTCCCTTTATCTGGTGATTAATTATCTCAAAGATACGAAGATATGCTATTTGTGGGTCGATGTGAGAAAAAAAAAAGTGAGAGAGTGAAAGAGAGAAATTAACGAAGATTCCACCGTACAGAGTGAACGAAACAGCGAACAACCGTGTCGCGCGTGGTAACACCTTATAGATCGAAGAGGCATCCAGTTTATTGCTCGTCGAAAGTACACACTCGTTTCACCAGCCACTCTGGTCACGTTCTACTGTACCTGTACCAGTATAACGTCACCGTACGTGCAGGGTCTTCGACGATATTGCGCCTCAACCTTCTACGTCGCATGTTTGTCACCCGATTTCCCATCGACTACCCGTCCCGTCAGCCATTTTGCCTCGACCTTTCCGTGTTATTCTTTGATTCCTATCCCACCGTCAAATGGGACAGCCATAGTGTCTTTTTTCGACTATTTTTTAACTTTTTTTTGCTCTTTTATCTATCTCTCTAACAATTATTTCCTCTTTTCTGTTCTCTCACATTTTTCCTCCATTTCCTTCGCTCTCTGTCGTCGAGGATTTCTTTGTTCTTTTTCTTCTCTGATCCTCTTGCACTCTTCCCTAATCTTAAAGAATCGCCAACTCCCGGTGCTTCGTCACACCCGAGACCCCTAAAGCAGTTTTGCCGCTCCTCCGATCCTCCTTTAAGCGAGAACAGTAGACACAATCCTCCTGTACAAGCTCAGGCAGATGTAGATACACACCCCTGTTGTGCAAACTTTTCTGTCACTGGGAAACAGTCTTGCATCTTTATTCCCCTTCCACAGAGCCTGCAAAATAGTTGAGAAACGAGTATACACCCTTCATCCTATGTACAACCAACTTACAACAAAACGTACCAACGTACAAACTCGACCTACCAATGTGCAAGTGTAACCCTTGGCTAAACTGGATGCGAAATTGTATCGTTCTACGAACACCTCTCTCGCAGAGCTCTGGTTAACGATATTAGTTTCGCTCTCAAGCAGGCCTCTATCTTCGAAGTACAGTTCTCGTTCTTAAGCAGGGTGATCGCTGCTCCATTCGTATAGTGCTCCAACACAGGATCGTTGCTCGAGAGAACGTGAAATGTATTAGCTGGTCAAGGCCATAACAGTTGCTTCATAAAATCCTTCTGTTCTACCTTTAAACTACGTCGAACATATTGCTAAAAAAGAAAAGACAAGTGAAAGAGGTGTAACCCTCATAAAACGAAGACAGTATATTACAGAAAACAGATACGTCCATGCGCCTATGACGTTAACCTATCAAGCACATGTACAAATCTTCCTTAGTAGGGTTTGTCGATGTGAAAAAGCAACGAAGGAGAAATGTCCTTGACCGACCAATACATTTGGTCCTTACTATAGTCTGACCACTATGGACACCTTGCTGAGCGGTTCTAATATAAAGTAATACAGTTTTATTTATTTCTAAGGCCCTCGTAAAATATTGATTTTTCCGAGAAAACGGTCAGCAATGTTCCAGCCATGAAACCTGTTTTTCTCCATTTTAAGTGTTCTCATTAAGATGGCGTCCTGTTTGATGGCTCCTTATCCCAGTCCCTTTTGTCCATTTTCGTGTGACCTAAGCGGCGAACGACGCTGCACACCGGAACACACGTGTACGTGAGCGATACGTGCACGTCAGCGCTCGCATCTGGTGCATCGGAGGATCGATACGCGCTACCGTCGGTCCACACACCGCATACACGTTTAATAGACCACCATGAATCGTCGTATACCGCGCACGTGTGCCCGCAGGTGATTCGGCCTCTCGCTTGTACACACGAAACTCGTCGGGCACCACGATCGCTGATTAAAAGCACCGGCGCGAAAGCTGATAGCTCTCCACGGAAACCCGAGGATACCCCTAATTTCCTCTGGCTAACTGTTTTCTTGCCTCTGACCGCCATTCCAAACCCTAACTCGTCCCATAAATTTCTTCCTTCGATCTGATGTAAATTTTACCCGCTTACTAAGTTTCCCTCTTGAAAGTTCAGCTTTCGAAGAGATATCGCGTACGAATTTGTCGTCCCTTCATTTGTAATGGTAAATTTCCACCGTGTACATCTTCGTTGTTTCTGAAAGTAGAAGTATTTTTAATCTCCATTTGAGAGAACGTCGAAAGATTACATTTTTTTTTTACCTTATACTTCTCGTAGAAGTTTCCTTTTGATTTATTTTCACCACGTTCGCCAAGTATCCTTAATCTTGAACGAATTAACTTCTGCAAGATTCCCTGATATACACTAATAACCTGAAGAAAAAAAGGAACAAAAGAGATTATTCACGGTTTTATCGTCTTTGAAACGCTATCGTAACGAGACTCGTCTGAGAGCAGTCTAGAGTCCAGCATGCGAACACGATTAGATTCGCGAAATTCGAGCCGGTGCTTTTAGCTGAAAACAGCACCGTCATGAGTCGCATATGAAAGTTGTATCCCTCCTTTCGAAGTAGCGGGAGTCTGTATACTTTGTATATATTACTATACTAAACTGTTGATGATTTAAGAGTGAGAGAAA